GTATCCGATGTGGAATTTTATAATTTCTGGTTTGATTGCCATGATTACTTTTCTTCACAATTCTCAGAATACTTTTCAGTATCACGAACTACGCTCTGCAACCATATTAAGATAAAAGAAATCTACATTATAATAAAACTAATATTGAATTATCAGTCATCTAGTCTTTTATTTTATTCTATATCTCAAGCTTCTTCCTTTGTCATATATGACACAAAACCATGGATACACCAACCGCAACAGATGCTTCGTCGGATACATGCCAATTAGTGATGAATTGGCCAATTTTTGCGGTAGCAAATAATCTTATCATTAGGTATGCGCGTCGCGTACGCGTTGCGTCTGTCGTAAATGAACACAGTGTTGCTAATTAGCAATGATTGCTAATTAGTAAATGAATAATTATTCATTTACTTACCACTTTACTAGCTATTTTGCAAAAAAAGTTGAGAATATTAAATTATTACAAGGTTGATTATTATCTTCAATACACATTTTTGTGTGGAGAAGACAATTTGATTCAGTGGACAGTTTGTTGCGCTGTTAAGTTTTCAATTAATTGATTGACGATTATATTCGTCCCACGTTTGCAGATGAGTGTGGTATACTCAGAATATTAAAAACAATCGAACAAATATTTACCTCTAAACGACGCAATGTCTTTCGTATTCCGAAGCAAAACGCCCTTCCGTGTCAAAAGTTTGATGATTTTGCTGTCTTATAAATTAGGAAATTGTCTACGTATTAGTACTATTCACGATAGCATAACTTTTTTGTCATGTTGAGAAAAATACCCCAAATCCAAATTATACATTAAAGAAGTTTTTTTATTCACCTCATCAAATAAAAGGCATTCTTTTTGTTCGGATGCCATTATTGTTCTTTAAATAAAAAAGAAATAAAATTAGAATGCATCTCACACACGCTCGGTCATACGTCATATTCGTTTTCCCGGTAAAAATATGGTAGCATACCAGTACAATATGGCGTCGGTTTCGTGACGTCACTGGCCAGTATACTGATGTTAATTTCGGAATACACCCTATATTTGCCAAACAACCCGAATTTATTCCCCTTCATACAATAATAAAATCTGTTAAAAGGCATTTCGATGTAATATAATTTGTGTGTATTGAGAGTTTGAGAGGCCACTTAAGATTTTTTGGGAAATCCCCTTGCCAAAGAGAATATATTTTTTCTCTACTCGTACATTGGTTTAGTGTTACCAGGTCACCTTCGGTCTGTAGAATGCTAAATAATACTATAATTAATCGTTACTAACACTTTTTTTAGCACTGAGCTAATCTTAGAATAAATACCAAACATTTGTAAACAAAAGAAGGAAATAAATCATATGAGACGTGTAGAAATTGAGTACTGAATAAGGAAAATATTAGAACTTTAGTTTTATTATAAATACAGGTAATAAAAAGACCGTTTTTATTTTAAATAAAGTTTTCGTTTCAAAACCTACAGTAATCGATATTTTATTTTATAGCCGAAAGCAGCAGTGATGATGATGACTACTCACTGACTTTACGTACCGACGGTAGTGCAGAAATGAGCGAAAGTAAAGAGCTAGATTCTAATTATTTAATGTTTTTTCTCACTCAGTCTTACTAAATAAATATTATTATAAATCATAATATATTTTTTTTTTATTTAATCTTGGTAAATAAGTTTTCTTAAAAAAAAAACTTTTTTGCTCCCTCTATCCAACTGGTCGTCATGTACGGTTGCGAAATGTGGACCCTGAAAGAAGACACTACAAGACGCCTACAGGCATTCGAGATGTGGTGTTACCGTCGCATGTTACGCATTAGTTGGACGCAGAGGGTTAGGAACGAAACCGTGCTTCAGCGCGTTCATATGTCCCGGAAAATGTTGCCTTCTATCAAAAAGCGCAAGATAGAATATCTTGGCCACGTGCTCAGGAACAACAGATACATGCTGCTCCAGTTGATAATGATGGGCAAAGTGGACGGAAAGAGACGTGGCGAAGAAAAAAGTCATGGCTCCGGAATATCCGGGAGTGGACCGGTATTGCCTCCGTCGAACAGCTGTTCCGGCTGGCTGCTGACAGAACTACATACAGGAAGCTAACGGCCAACCTTCAGGATTGAAGAGGCACTGGAAGAAGAAGAAGAAGAATCCAACTGGTCTGAATTGACAGCTATGACGTCACAATATGGTGTCCAGTCGTTCCAATTCTTATGGTAGACATACACACTACGAGAAATCGTTACGATTAGACTGTACAGTCCGAACGGTACCGATAAATCGTAGCGTGTATGTGATAAAACTGCACAGTTTCCTATACGCACGCCACGTACGATAAACTGTTCCGTTCGAACTGTACAGTCTGATCGTAACGATTTCTCGTAGTGTGTATGGCTACCATTAGTTGAATCGCATTGTACAATTCGGCCGCGTACAGAAAGAAAGCTGGAAGCCGACCAGCGCTTCTCAGCGCTGGTCCTTACCGGTAACCGACGCAGGCATTTCTATGGACCAGCGCCGATAAGCGCCGAACGTCGCCGACAAGTGCCGACACGCGCTGCTCAGCGCTGGCACCGCCCTTTGAAATTAATGAACAACTAGGCTTCAATCTGCTTCCTTTATGAAACTGTTACCAGTAAGGATCAGCGCTGGTAAGCGCTGGTCGGCTTCCAGCTTTCTTTCTGTATACGGCATTCGAAAGCCCTGTTTACGAGATTTTTAGCTGCATATGTACAAGGAAAAAAGTTCTACTTTTAGTTAGTTCCCTTTTTTAGGGCGAAACTAAAAATATAAAGGAAAAAACAACGATTTTCTTTAATTTTAAACTCTTTAAATTTTGCGCCCTAAATCAAGCATTTTTAGAGAACAGTTTAGGGGAATTTTATTTAGGGCGTATTAAAAAATAAACTAGGACAAAATCAAAACCCGATAGTGGAAACACTGTGGTAATCTGTTATCTATCTGTTTATCTGTCTGTCTGTGTTATATTACCATACTCTTTGGTCTGTGTGTAGGGACACGATATCGAATACTTCAAAGTATCGAGTACATTTCATAGGGCCTTATCGGAGCCTCTATGGCCTGATGAGCAACTCCCCCCCCCCCCCCCTGGTGTTAAAATTGAAAGAAAAACAATCGAATTTTACTATAGTACGTATAATCAAAAACAAAATAAAGGACATGTAAATTCACAAATTGCTATATTATATAATGAAAAGAAAATAGCTGTGATTTGTGACACTAAAAAAGTGTTCATTAATATTACATTCATAATTAATATGTTAATTAAAAAGATCGAAATCTTAAACTATTTAAAAGTATGAATCTTTTCAGATTTGTTCAAATTAAACTTACTTTTCTTGAATTTTAATCATTAAAAAACATTATACCCACTTATGTTAACTTGAATCTGACACGTAGTTAACGGCTGCCATTGGTATGCTTCACTCAAAAATGTCTTATGTAACGTAACCCAAAACGCTTGGGATTGGCGGAGCCTAAAACGACGTCACACGCAAGTAAACTTCCGGTCAAAGTGACATTACATTGAATCGTTTGACGTTTTACTAACTGTCGTGTGACGTCACACACTAGTAAGACGCCATATTGTCTAGAGAAACGTTTTCGCGGCAACTTGAAAATGGAGTTTTTGATTAGGTTATTTTTACTGAAATACACAACAGAATGATAAATATCCAATAACGGACTCAATAACGTGAGATCGTTGCCTAAAACATGTCAAATACCCTATGGAACGTTTTCGAAGGTTTGCTATGATTAAACAAGATGGCGTTGCCATCAATATGAGGCGCTTATCCAAAATTTTAAAAGTATCGATACTTGCCAAAAAGTACTCATTTAGTAAAAGTATCGAATACAAAGTATCGAGTACAAAAGTATCGGTATCGAAAGGAAAAGTACTCGATACCACAAAGTATCGATACTTTTTTCGTGTCCCTATCTGTGTGCAGTGTTGCCAACTCTACGTCTTTTTACGTAGATCTACGTATTTTAGGCCTTTTCTGCAAACCTACTAACTTCAGTCCCAGAATCTACGTATTTTCTTTAATTTTTTCAAATTTGTAAAATAACTTAATTCACTAGAATAAAGAAGAATATTTTCCGTTACTTTACTTAAAAACTAAAGAAAAATTTATTTCTTATAAAGATATATCTAAAAACTCCTGTATCTTGTAGAAAAGGTTCACGTTATTGGTTTTGTTGACTAAATTAATGCTGGACGCAGGATTTGTGAAAGAAGAAACGACAAAACTCTTTGACTTAGTAGGTACATTCATAACCTTAAAAATTTTATTTTTATACTTTAAATATTATTTAATGAGTACTTACATCGAATTGATCTTTGCAAAAAGAAATGATGACTTTCAGTCGATAAAGTTACAGGATTTAGCAAGTTTTAAACATGTGTTCATGTCTAAGTATGTTTATTACTCTTGGCACACAATTTAAACCACTACTTTTCTAGAGTCTTTTACCAAGTGTATCATGATAACTACTATATTTTCATGTGATCTATTAGAAATCATGGTTTTATAATATTAAATCAGAAAGTTTATTTCCTACGTTCTTGCGAGTGTTTGTTTACAAATGTTTTGATGTCATAGCATAGATAAGTCTATAGACTAAATAGCGTTTTTGTATGTCTTCTAGGTAAAAAAAATACATTTTTACGTCTGATTGAACAATTATTAACAATTTAAAACATAATTCCAAAAAGTGTCAACTAGCCTATTTCACAACAGTGTATCCTTGTCATTCTCTATACAGAATGAAAAGGAGAGACTGATGTTAAATTTAGTTTTAAATTTAGAGAATCATGCCAGAATCGACACCCACCAGTGTCTGTGACTGATGGTAAATGCTTCCAATGCATCGACTTCTCCAAGAACTCTTTGTTCTATCTCCCGTTTTTAAAGAAATTGTATAACAAAATTCTCGTTTTATTCGGTTTCACCTAACTTCTTCATTTCACTCAGAAAAAAGTACGTAGATCTACGTACTTTTCATGTGCAAAATTTACCAATTCTACGTAATTTTATCATCGTGGCTACGCCTTTTTCAAAATCCGAGTTGGCAACACTGTCTGTGTGTGAATCTGTGTAAAACCGAGAGAACATCAGAGAACATTCTTTGCCAAAAACTTGGAAAATACGGAAAATACTGAATTACTGAGGAAAAATACAGACATTGAGAGGTGAATAAAATAATCAATAAATTAAAATGTTACTTTAAATTTTACATGTAGTTTTGCAATTATCAATCAGGTACACGAAATATTGTGTCTGTTGTGAAATTTTAATGTTTAGCTAATTGTGTTTGTGCCTGTAGTTTTTAAAATATTGTAAAATATGTCCTGTCTGCTGCCTGGTCCGCGTGGAATTTTTTTTTCTAGTAAACTACATCTAGCAGTTAAATGCTTAAAAAATAAAAAACAAATAGGTATGTTATTAACATTGTTTTGTAAATAGAGTTAATCTATTGTTTTTGTATTTAATTAATATCAAGTTTGTTAGGTGTATTTATTCGATAGGTATACTATCGAAAGGTCTAGAATACAAGCCTAGTTTCTTCACAAAGTTACGTTTTCATTGTGCTTAAAAATATTGCATCATTAACAGAGACTTACTTTACTGATATTTTTACAACAACGAAAAATTTCGATCAATAGAAATTTAATTTTGTGCTATCTTGAGGTGCTAAAAAAGAAACTGCCTATGTCAAAAACAAATATTGGACAAAATATTTATATATTTCCGCAATCCTTCAGCATCTATCTCACATAAAAAAAAATCTTTTCAAAAGTAATTGTGAGAGCTATAGAGCCATTAAAAAAGAAAGAATATGAAGGAGTTGGAAGGAGCTAGTAACTGCAAATGTAAATTCAAAATGTCAGCAAGACAGAATAGGGCTGAGCTAAATATAATTTATATCTTTGTACACAACAATTACCAGTATCGTAATAAAAAATATTTGATCTGATTTAAAGTGTTGGGTAAAATCTAATATATGCAATAAATATTATTGTTGAATATTTGAATAATTATTTAACACTTGAGGACTCATTATGATCCAAAAATTAAACTTCATAATTTGTTGTATAACTTAATTTTTTCCACTCTTAGTAACTTTTACTTCAATGACACTAACAGCAGATGATTATCTTAGATGGCAGTTAACCTGTTTTGTGTAAGTGGCAAGGAAGAAAAACATTTGTATGGGTCTGCTGGTCTACCATCATGCTGTTAGCCTTCTTCAACATATTTTTACAATGTTTTAAAGAAAACTGCTTTGAAATGTTTTATATTGAAATAGGAGAATAGCTCAATGAAAAAATAGAAAATAAGGACTGCTTAGAGAGAGATCTGCAGAACATAATTATAAAAAAAATGAGCATTTTTCTGATTTTGTCAATGTAAGTGTGTGAAACATAATATGTACAACATATTTGTTCAAGTCATATTAATTAAATAATGATGTAGAAACTGATAAAACAAAAAATACCACTCAGCCCTGGTTACTATTTTATATTATTTGTGTTACAAATATAAGGCATGAGTCCCTCAGTGTGTAGTAATGATAATTTGTGGGTAATAGTCTTAGATTAAAACAAAAAGGGTAGATACGGTACGCTCATACTTGCATCAAACAAAAACTGATCCCACGGCAGCGCGAACGCGACGGCGAGATCCACGTCACTGCATTACCGACCCGAACGAAACAGCATGTTAAGTTTCAACAGCAGCGGGAGCGAGACGGCGAGATCCGCGTCACTGCACTACTGACCAACCCCGCAACCAGTACTCGACGTCACTACCGAATAAGAACCAAAACAAACAGCAATTTTTATTAAAAATATATTTTATAGTACTTACGAATGAAAAGTGATGCCGTGGGTTTTATTTTTAGTTTTTGAGCAATTTGAGTACTTTTTAAAAACACACTTAGGCATTGTTTTATCATAAAAACACAAAATATTAGCAATATTTCTTTTTGGCATTCACATGTACGTCATTTGCATGTCAAGTTGTGACTAAAGCGATTAGGGTTGTGGACCACAATTCATGCGGATCACTTTTGTGAGGCTAGTGCTGTATCTACCCTTTTTGTTTTAATCTAAGGTAATAGTAGAGGTAGAAGTATACCAGATGAAGTATTAATATTCATAAGCCTTACTTTGTACTGATCAGGGTTCTTACAGATCCAATAATTGTGACATTTGCGGATGCAATCATGCAAATTATTAGAGGCTCACATCCGTGGAAGCATAAACAGATTTCAGGATTTAATAAAGATGTTTAAGTTTTAAAATCATAAATAAATGTAAATAGTTTTTTTTTTTGTTTCATTGAAAAATATAAATTTTGAGAATGTAACTAGTTTCAGTCTTACTAACCTCATTGTTTAATTGCAGATATAAAAATCTACATTCAATCGTAACATAATGGGAAAAGGTAAGCCACATTTTTATGCATTGTTTTCTTGTTATTTAGAATTAACAACTAGATATTAACTTGCCATTTCTAGTTAGTGATTGCTTAATTTTTATATGGAAATATTTAAATGATCTTAAAAAATTATAAATGATCACCTTAGAATAATAACTCCTAGAAACCATGTATTAACCAAAACAAGAGGGCTAATTTTATGCTGAATTCATTTTCTTCTATGCATAAGTTAACCATCTACGTATATAAATAAAAATAAAAATAAAATTCATTTATTTCGAGCAACATAACTCATAATCATAATAATAATGCATAATCAATTATTGTAGAAATAGGCACATGTCACTTAAAATACACCTAATCATTTATTTAATTTAATAAATTACATAATTTAAATTTAATAATTTCCATCAAATAAAATAATTAAAAATCAAAGGTCAAGTTAATATTATTATAATGTCATACACAAAATGAATATTAAAATGTCATAGGAACACAAAATTTCTTATTTATATCAAACCGTATTTTTTTTTTAATATAAAATATTTTTACAATTGTATTTAATAACATTACACACCTCCATTAGATAATATATGCTGTGCACAACAATGCCGCATGTAAGGACAGTCAAACCTCTCCGCTATCATAGCCAGGACTTTATTTGGGCTTGCCCTCACTCTACTTACAAGGGATGCACACCTTTTGCGCATGGTGGTGAAAAAGCAGTTTGTATGTGCTATTGCGAACATTCCCGAGGCGCTACAGTAACGGGGTAGCCCCAGGAGTGCCCTAAAAGCATTGTTAAATTGCACGCGAAGCGCGTTATACACTCTCCGAGAATAGCGGGCCCACAAAGCACATGTGTACAAAGAAGTGCAGTAAGCACGAAAGAGTGTAATTTTCACCTCTACTGAACTTCGTGAAAACTTGCGCGCCAACATATTTGCCCTTCTTGACAATGCTCTCCGTTCCCGCTCAATGTCAGCACTGTCGTCGAGGTCAGCAGTAACTATATGCCCCAGATATTTGAAATGGTACACTCTTTCGAGCGGGATGTTATTGAGATGTATTGCTGGCACATTCTCTGGGCATCTAGCACCACCAGCCTCGAAAACCATGAACTGACTTTTCGTAGGATTGTACTTTAATCCATGCTCGCAAGCGTATTTCTCACAGATGCGCAACAGGTGTCTTAAGCCACAGACCGAGGCACTCAGCAGAACCATATCGTCCGCGTAACTAAGATTATTGACACAGATTCCATCAACGTGACAGCCGACATGGCTACTGCTGAGCTCCACGATTAGCGCGTCCATATATAAATTAAAAAGAGTGGGAGAGGTCAGCCCACCCTGCCTAACACCGCACTGAAGACGATATGGCTCCGACACTGCGCCCCCCCATCTGACGTTGTTAATTTGATGTGAATACCAGTACTTAAAGATGTTAATAAGTTCTCGTGGTAGACCCATCTTGTCCAACTTGCTCCATAAAACCTCGTACGCCACCAGGTCAAAAGCCCGGGATAAATCCAGGAAACACGCATATACTGGAGTCTTACGATTCGTATAATACCTGACGCTGTGCTTTAGACTCAGTATTGCACTCTCAGTGGACAATTTGGATCTAAATCCAAACTGATTGTCGTGCAAGTGAATGTGTTCATTTAACTTTTCATTGAGCACAGCGTCAAATATTTTTGCTATGATCGTAGCTAAGGAAATTGGCCTATAGTTACTTTTATCAGCAATGCCACCGGTTTTATTTTTCACTATAGGTACTACCACTGTCTTCATTACGTCTGACGGTAAATAAGAGTGACTCACACACAGCGAATAAAACATTGCGAGTACCCTATAAGCGTGAGGCCCGGCATGCCGTACGTGCTCGACGCTGAGACCATCATGACCAGGAGACTTTCCCCTGGTCATGGTTTTTACAATAGTAGCTAATTCTTTCGCTGAGACTTGTATATTCACAGCCCCATTCCCATTTAGTAATTCAGCATCGAAAACCCGACCCACCAGCCCTAAGGGAGACTGTATAGTAAAATGAGACCTAAAGGCATTAGCGATCTCCTTATGATCACACTTACCGTCGATGACCATAGGACAGCTCGGTTTTAAGTTGTCCCTTTTTATAAATCTCCAGAAACTCTGAAAATCTCCGCTCGAATGTTTTTCAGCAAGGGCGTCCATTCGTAATTGGTCCTGGTGATTTTGGCACCATTTCAAGCGTGACTTAAAGATCCTCCTGCTTTCAGACATATCATTGAAAATGATACCCGAACGCGGCTTACCGCACCTTAACCATTCAAAATATTTTAAACGTGCCGTCCTATGAGCCTCGGCGACGCACTTGTTCCACCCTGCCACACCTGAGCCACTCCAACCACCACCAGCGTCCTCTCGACCAGCACAAGACGCACCAGAAAGGGCAGACACAATGTCAGAGTAAAGTCTGTCAAGTACATATTTATGACTTTCATTATTACAATAGGAGTTGGCGCAGTCAATAAATTCATTTGGAAAGTCTATTGTTTTAAGTCTTTTATGACACTCTTCAGTATACCTGGCCACTTGTTCCTTGTTTCTCATACCCCACAAGACATGATTTTTGGTACAAGTAATATTATCCCCAGCTACGATGGGAGTTAATAAATATAGATCACATTTTATTATCAAAGGAAAGTGGTCGGACCAAAAAGTGTCATAACTGACAAAAACGTCAGTTACACATTGTTTTGCGGCTTCAGTCACTACACAGTGATCCAGCCAGCTGCAAGAACCGTGCACTTCACTAATAAACGTGTAAGTGCCCGAATCTGCACCTAGAAAATCAACATCGCAGCAAGACCATCGTTGTTCATTACAATATTTGTTTAATTCGTTATAAAATAATTCGTCAATGTCAGCATTATAGTCACCTAATATAAAAACAGATTCAATACTATATTCATCAATAATTGCGCTCACCGTACTTAAACAGTCCGTAAATTCTGGAAGATTTTCCACGGAGTTCGTCGGCATGTAAACACTCATCACTATCACTGGACGATCATTAGTTACTATTTTAATAGCACAGACACGGTCACTATCACACCGTAACACCGATACGTGTTGGAAAACGCTGCTCCTCCACAGCAGTGCGACACCACCATACGGCCTCCCACGAAGAACGCCTGTAGAAGTGTCAACAGCAGACGTCCCCGCAAATCCAAAATTATTATCGATAGTGCTCAAATATGGTATTTCGTCCGGCAGCAACCATGTCTCCTGCAACGCTATGAGATCACATGACCTACACAGTTTTCGCACACTATCTACTGAGCGCTTAATACTTTTGCAATTGAAGCTTGCGAAATTATATGGTCGACTATCCATTTTTATTTCTAGTGGAGCCGTCTACAGCTACGTGCCTGTTCGATTCTTTACCTTTATAATGCATAAAACGCCTAAAAACAATGCCGCAAGGCCAAAGCTTCTCATCTAGGTATAATGGAAGCTTTGACTCTAATACAAAGAACTTAAACGCCTTGTGTCCTCTTTCTCTTTTCATAATTATTTTCTCTAACTTCACCATTTCGTTGGTTTTATTTAAAATATAAGTGGTTATATCCTCTTCGGTTGTGTCAATATGAACGTTTGTAATAAAAACGGGCACCTTCTTATCGGCCGCCTTAAACTTACTCGCAAGATCTCTTGCAACACCCGATTGACCCAAGTAACGATACGTTGGTCGTTTTTTACGATTTGTGACTTGTTGCCATTCCTCATATTTACGCGCATTGCTTGTATTTGCCGGCAATTTCTCATCATTTTCAGGTAATGCACTCCGCTGCTCCGCCGCAGTCACAGAACTGACGGTTTTATTATTCAAAGCGCTCAGCTGACTTATTATCCTCACAGGTGAGATCGTATGCGCCGCGGCCGATAACAAACCGGTCTTACAATTGTCGGTCGCCGCTACAGGTGACTCGTGCGCGCTGCTTTTGCCCGCCGCCTGTGACCGTTGCTGCGCTTCGTTCAAACACACCCTCATATTTCGATATCGCGGTGTTATTATATCAGTTTCGGTATCATTATTAGTACAGGATTCATTTATTGATGAATTCAGCATATGGGATACCTCCATCGGCCCATCATCCAACAACCATGCACCTCTTCTTTTGTTTACTTTTAACGTCGAAGTGGGAAGAAACGAATTGTTTTTCATCTGAAGAACCTCTGCTTTTAGGTCTTTTAAGTCTTTTACTGTGGCATAATTGGACTTCATGTCGTCAACCGTCGCCTGGATACGTACAAGATCCTTTAGGAGTTTGGTGACGTCCAGATGATCGAATGTAATAGGTGGTAATTTTTCCAGCTGCCGTGCCACAAATATTGGTATTTCATCCGGTTCCGCAGATTTAAACAAATTTATAATGTCTGCCAAATCACGTTCCTCTTTTCCTTTGTGTTTTCGTAATATTTTACGCATATCCGTTGATATAGAATCGAACAGAAGCGATTTGGACTTCTTTATTTCTTCGGGTCGAAACGACGTTTTACAAATTTGCACCAGCGTTTGCTCATCTATCACTGATAATTTATTTTGTATATACGATAGCATCTCATCGATAACTATATTACACGTATTACACTTAATAACGTTTGACATTTTTCTTTACTAGTACCACAATTCACGAAGTAATATTTAATGCACTAGCCTATTATCACGCACCCGTCGTTTTCGGTGCGCAGGCGCGACTGCGCACCGAAAACGACGATATGTTACTGGCAACGATATGTTACTGGCAAACTGTATAATCCGGCATGCTAAACAATACCTAGGGAAAGATAAAGAATGCCAAAAAACGTCAAGGCAGTGTATGAAATATTATTCATTTTATACTTTGCCTAGCTATTCTATAAAATGCCAAATGCGCAGTCGGCAATGTAAGAAAATGAAGATAGCGAGTCGACTTTTCCTTGTTCTATCCTATCTGTTTTCTCTCTATCAGCACT